ATATGTTCACTTTATAGCCTTATCTCATCCTTACAATACTTCACAAATAGCTTAAGTTTTCCTAAACAGTGTGCAAACTACATGGTGTGCCCTGCTCCATTGTATCGGATAGAGACCCTATCTTTGTGAGCCTATTTGGCAAGAGCTTTTTAAGAATTTGGAGGTGAAACTAAAACTCAGCTCAGCCTACCATCCCCAAATGGATGGGCAGACAAAGAGGTTAAACCGCTGTTTGGAAGCTTATCTTGGGTGCATGACTGGAAAAAAGCCAAACGACTGGTGCAAATGGCTTCCCTTAATAGAATTTTGGTATAACACCAATTTCCACTCAGTAGTTGGAATTTCAAGCACTTTACGGATATAAGCCTCCTCAACCAACTTTTGAGCTAATCACTTAGTAAAAAATGGAGACAATTGATCAATTGTTGAAAGAAAGACAAATTACCAGCAAACAATTAAAGAAAAAATTGATTAAGGCACAAGCACGAATGAAATAATATGCGGACATCAAGAGAAGTGAAAGAGATTTTAAGTTGGGAGATGTGGTATTTATTAACTTACAATCATATTGGCAAACATCGATTGTTGTAAAGTAAAGCTAACTTCAAAGTTCTTTGGTCCTTACCCGATTATCAAAATCGATCTTCAACTTCCAGCTGAATCACGGATAAATTCAGTCTTCCATGTTTCTCAACTCAAAAAGAAGCTGGGACCTAAGGTTTTCCCTGCCAAGGATCAACCTTTGAGCACTCCTGACGGTCCATTGGTGGCAGAATCATTGGCAATTTTGGATTTGAGGGTGGTTAAAATGGGGAATCATGCGTGATACAAGTTCTTGTGCAATAGGCCAATCTATATCCTGAAGACGCAACTTGAGAAGATTTCTCATTTCGAACTTCATAATTTCCTGAATTCCAACCTTGAAAATCAGGGTTTTCTGAAGAGTAGTGGAATGTAACGACCCGGGCGGTCGTTTTGAGAGTATTCCGAACCCCTATTTATTTCTCCCTCTATTTCATTTTATGTTTTTGTGACTTATCAGGGTACTTGGTGTCGAATTCGGGAGAGTTTCAAAGTGGAATGGGACACATAGTCCCTAAAATGGAAGTTTAAGTCATAAGAATTGACCGTAGTTTGATTTGTATGAAGACGACTCCAGAATAGAGTTTTGACAGTCCCAATAGCTTCGTAGGGTGATTTTGGTCTTAGGAGCGTGTCCGTATGTTGATTTGATGGTCCATAGGTCATTTCGGCGTCAACTGGCAAAAGTTGGAAAATTGGATGATTTTTGAAAAGTTTGATCGGGAGTGGACATTTTGATATCGGGGTCGGATTCTAATTCCGTAAGTTGGAGTAGGTCCATAATGTCAAATGTGACTTGTATGCAAAAATTTGAGGTCAATCAGACTTGATTTGATAGGTTTCGGCGTCGAATATAGAAGTTAGAAGTTCTAAAGTTCATTAGGCTTGAATCGATGTGCAATTCATATTTTTAGCGTTGTTTGATGTGATTTGAAGGCTCGACTAAGTCCGTATGATGTTTTAGGACTTGTTGGTATATTCGGACAGGGTCCCGGGGGCCCAGGTGTGATTTTGATTGAATCCGGAACATCTTTTGGACTTGTGAAAATGCTGAAGCTCCCAATTATGGTGTCATCGCACCTGCGGAGGGATTGGCTATAGATGTGGACTCGCATGTGCAAGAAATGGAGCGCAGAAGCGGTTATGGGCAGTCCAAGCAGGACTCGCAGATGCAGAACAGTTTCCGCAGAGGCGGCTTCGCTTTTGCGATGGGGAGATGCGCATGAGCGACTGGGTCGTAGGTGCGACATGTTTTGCCGCAGGCACGCATACGCAGGTGCGGCCTTATTCTCGCATAAGCGGACCTAGTGGACTTAAGTGAAGTCCGCACCTGCTATGGAACTTCCATAGGTGCGGAGTCGCAGATACGGCTGTGGGTTTGCAAATGCGGTTTAACTGGGCAGAAAAGGGGATTTTTCGAGGGTTTGATTTCATAATCTATTTTTGAACTTAGAGAGCTCGTTTTGTGGTGATGTTTTGAGGGTTTTGCAAGGAAATCATTTGGGTAAGGATTCTTAACTCATTTTTGATTAATCCCCACGAATCTATTATTGTTTTCTTCATTTAATCAGTGTTTCTAGTTGGAAATTGGAGAAAAATTGAGAAAATTTCTTAAGCTAAAATTGGGGATTTGAAAGACGATTTGAGGTCAGATTTGAGTAATTTTGGTATGGGTGAAATCGATATCGAATGGGAGTTCAGATTTTATAATTTTGGCCGGGTTCCGAGATGTGGGTCCGGGTCGACTTTTTGGGCGATTTTTTAATTCTTTGCTAAAATCGTAGATTTATTATTTAAATTAGTTTTTTATAGTTATATTTGTAGTATGTAATTGTTTTGGTTAGATTCGAGCCGATTAAAGTTGGAAAATCGAGGCAAAGGTCTTCTAATTGATTGATTGAGCGAGGTTTGAGGTAAGTGATTTGTTTAACCTTGTGTCGGGGAAATTTCCCTTAGGATTTGGTACTGTTATAGTATTTGCAATACGTGAAGGCCGTGTACGCGAGGTGACGAGTGCGTACTTGGGCTCAATATTGAAAGATCCGATTTTTGCTAAATAGTTCCTTTTTATTTCCTTAATTGAGTTACTCTAGTACGTGTAGTCATCATGTTTAGCCTAATGTCATATGTCTACGTGTCTTATCTCTTACTTGTAATTTGTGCAACATGCTTAGTTGGATTACCTGTTTTATTGATTTTGTATTCATTCTTTAATTGTAGGATTCCTTGCTGTAATTTCATTGTTCCAATTATTATGTGTTATTTTTATGATTTTTGGTTGAGATGACTGTTTGGTTGTGGCAAGAGGTTTCTGTCGTGCCCCTGTTGCATGTTTACTTTTGGAACTACGAGACGGTACCTCGGGAGTGCTACACACGTATTTGGCCAATGCTAACACATTAGGTCAACTACATCAATTGCGTCGAAGAGTTGGACAGAAAGATATAAGACTAACACCATGTGAGATTCTCATGCAAGGAATATAAAGTCAACAAAAAGTTAATGAAGCAGTTGAATGTTTCAATGCTAAATTAGCGGCTAAGAATACAGACAAGAGAATTAGGACAGGATAGGAAAAAAAATATCAATCCTTAGTGGAAAGAATAATACTCGTAATCATTATCATTACTATACTATAAATGGGAATAACGAGGCAGCTCATGGTCAACATGTCTTCCTGGCCCAAGGATAAAATTTTAATTGCACTTACAGCCAAATACGTGGAACGCAGTTTCACAACCCTTAAGTTACCATTTGGCTAACGTGAGTGGTGCATGTATAACTTTTCTAATAAGTGGGCTCCATTTGAATTTTCTTCTCATGCTCACTCTATTTTCCAAATGTGATTTTGCAAATTTTTATATTGTAATAGTCACATACAATGTTTTGTAAACGCATACTAGATAACTCAATTTAATTAATTTATTACGAAGAGTTTCTTTTAACCAAAATGACAAGATCATTTCAAATGAAAATTGTAGCTGACTATTATTTTTGTTAAAAATATTGCATTGGTCAACTAAACTTTCTACTAACTAAAATTGAAAAATAAAAAATGTAAGACGAATTAAAGACGTGGAAAGGACGAAAGGCTAGATGAAACTAATTAAAACTAATTAGCAATGCATAGGAAGATATCATTGGAGTATTTTATTTGTTCAGATTAAATATATGATAATACCGTGAGCATAACAAATGGAAAACAATAATGTGCAAAGAAAAGAAAACTTATGTCCTTTAAAAAGAAAAAGAACAGAGATTTTTAATAATTAAACTTTCCTGAAATGAGTAACTTATGCAAGCAAAGCGGGTATGCGTACGTTTAAATTGCAACTTTTGTTGTATTTTTTGGATGATTGTTATTCAACATTTTATGGTGTATATCATATTCTACTGTATGTATTATACTGTATTGTTTCGATGATTACAATGTTTGAATAGATTATATCGTTTCTCATCGTTTTATAATATCATACACCAGCAGTTTGAAGGATACATTATAATATAATATTATATAAAAAAAAGTATGATACGAGATAGACTTCTTATTAAAATAGGGTAGATGGTGAAATATAAATATTAAAAAATTATTAAGGATAAAATGAGAAGAAAAAATAGGGCAACGACGCGAGCACACCAAATTGATTTCATCGTTAAGTAATGATTAATTTAGCAATACAAAACAATGATAAGTAACAATCAAAATAAATAATATATTTAAAGTAACAATACGATGAAATACAATAGGTAAGAATCATCCAAACAGGTTGTAATGAAATACGTGTAAAACATCATAACTTGTTGTTTTGAAGTTGTTAAACTTTTAGGATTTCTATGTAAAACGTATACTATATAAAAGGGCCTAAACTAACCCTATCGTTTGCTAAATGGTTTATAGATATCCTTCGTCTATCTATTAGTATACGGCGTTAATTCTATTAATAAAATTGCCCCCGCGTCTAATGACATATTTTGTAGGCCTTGTAATTTTATGGAAAGGTGATAAATTTTTAAACATAATGAAATTTTTGAATATAGCTTTGTAGTGCTAAACTATTTCTCATCATATCAAATCTCTTGCGATGTTGATTTCTTGTGTTTCAAACTTAACATTTGGGAAATTATATTTGACGGGAATCAAAAGTATTGAATTCCCAATATATGGAGTTATTCATACTTGCTGTACAAGATACAGGAAGATATGGTAATTGGGCTCGGGCACAACCCAGGCTAATCCAACTAATTTTGACGAATAAATAAAAAAAAAGTACTCGCGGGGACTGTTTTTTGAATTTCTTTTTTCATTTAACACTACATTGAAAAAGGCACCTATTTTTTTTTTTTATTTTTTTTTTTTTTTTAAGTTCTAAAAACTAAAAGGCACCAAATTTATTTGAAAAGGAAAAAGTATGCAACTAGCCATTTGCTTACACTTTCAAACGCATTGTGTAGCGGGAAAACACAATTGGCACTACTCTCTATCATCGATGGACGCCATAGGCGCCGGAGCAGAGAAAAAAACGGCCATCTCCAAGAAGAGACCCCGCTCTACCAGACAACCAAAACCTAAGCCTAAAATTGAAGTTCCAACTAGCGGCGATATAGAGGACTTCAGTTTCAGCAAAAACGAAACCCTACAAATTAGGGCTTCTCTATTGGAATGGTATGATAATAATCAAAGAGACCTTCCTTGGCGAAGAATAAGTAGTAGTAGCAGTTGCGGATTTAAAGAAGATGATGATGAGAGAGAGAAAAGGGGTTATGCAGTGTGGGTATCTGAAGTAATGCTTCAGCAAACTAGGGTTTCAACTGTGATTGACTATTTTAATCGGTGGATGAATAAATGGCCTACTCTTCGACATCTCGCTCAAGCTTCTCTTGAGGTAGTAACACTTAGCTGCTTACGTTGTTGATGTTTTTCTTCTTTTCTTTTTGGAATTTATTGAATTCGGAGTTTTCTCTTTTATCTACCTGCAGGAGGTGAATGAAATGTGGGCAGGTTTAGGATACTATAGACGAGCTCGGTTTTTGCTGGAGGTGAGGTTTCTGTTTAACTGTGGGTTATTTAATTTTCTGGTCAATAGTCTCATCCTAACATTAGAAAAAAAGGTAAAAATATGAAATTACGAAAAAAGAAGTTTTTACATCTGTCGCACAACACAGACAGTGCCATGGATTGGATACAGTTGGAGAGTTGAAAAGTAATTTGCGGACTAAGAGATGAAAACATCAAACTGTATTTGTAGAGAAACTATAATTGTTAACTGATTTAAAGAGTACTGCTAAAGTATGCAAATTAGCATACAACTCTGCTGAAGTACTCATTATCTAGTTTGTTTATTATAGATATCTGTGTTTTCGCAGGGTGCAAAAGAGGTTGTCGAACAAGGAGGTACTTTTCCGGAGACAGTTTCAGATCTTCGCAACATCAAAGGAATTGGTGAATATACTGCTGGTGCTATATCCTCAATCGCCTTCAAAAAGGTCAATAGCTTTTGCAAAGTTTTGACCGACTAATACACTCTTCCTCTTATCACATGTTCTAAGTTATTACTGTAGGCAGTGCCTGTTGTTGATGGAAATGTGGTCAGAGTTATTTCTAGGCTGAAGGCTATATCTGCAAATCCAAAAGACGCAGCGTCAGTTAAGAATTTTTGGTGAGTCTTTGTGATGTATAATGCAGTTTTTTGTTGCTTTCTTACTGTAATGGTTACTTAGTAAGCAAGTTGGAAGAACAATACACTACAGCTATATTGCTCGGATCTTCGAAGATGCTGCCGGGTGTGTGTCAGATCCTCCTAAAATGACTTTTTAGGATCTGACATGGGTGCGGCAATATTTTTGGAGGATTGGAGCAACATAGCACTACAGAGAACTGCATCATATCCCATTCTCTACCTATCTTTTCTTTCTATTTCTTATCAAATATATTCAGGAAACAAATCTAAATTGTTATCTTCCTTAAGCAGTGATCATGCCAGATATTAGTAATTACCCAATTTTGGATATTACTTTATTTCTTAGTAAATTTTCCATCCTGTGTCATGTTATCTATTTCCTTTTGAATTAGGAAACTTGCAGGGCAATTAGTTGATCCTTTTAGGCCTGGAGATTTCAACCAAGCTCTTATGGAACTTGGGGCTACGTTGTGCTCTCTTTCGAATCCAGGTTGTGCTGCATGCCCCATCTCTGCTCAATGTCATGCTTTATCACTCTCTAGGCAGAACGAATCAGTTCATGTTACAGATTACCCAATTAAAGTTATGAAGGCCAAACAAAGGCATGAGTTTTCCGCTGTTAGTGTTGTAGAGATACTGGATTGCCAGGAAACGATAGGACCTCAATCCAGCAGCAAATTTATTCTTGTGAAAAGACCAAATAATGGTCTACTTGCTGGCCTCTGGGAGTTTCCATCAGTTCTCTTGGAAAAGGAAGCAGACTTGGCCTCAAGAAGAATAGCAATTGATAAATTTTTACAGTCATCATTCAATCTAGATCTTAAAGAGTCTATTAGAATAGTTTCACGAGAATATATTGGAGAATATGTCCACGTCTTCAGTCATATACGCCTCAAGATGTACATAGAGTTGCTGGTCTTACGTCCAAAAGGTGCATTCTATTCGTTGACTTATTACCTCATGGTTACTGATTCAAATGTTTACAGTGTAGCACCTTTTTTCATATACTTAATTGCATGTGCTTTCTGTTGACATGAAGGAAATAATAGCATTGACTACAAAAAGCAGGACAAAGAGAGTATGACATGGAAATATGTCGATAGTAAAAACCTCGATAGCATGGGATTGACATCTGGAGTAAGAAAGGTACTGCTGAAAATCAAAGTATACCTGGATCTACTCACCTTTACTGTGTGGTTGAATGTTATAATGAAGAAATGTGATAGATCACATAAGTGAGTTGTAAATAAGGAAATAAGAACTTTTCTGAAACAGCAAACCATCTTACTTACTACTGCAGAATGACTTGACAAATCACATCTTGAGTTGAATTGTTTTCTTTAATCTATGATGCACTTAGGTGTAAAAAAGGGATGGGATAGACCTAAAATCACATGGAAGGAAGGTTTCTCGAAAGACCTAAAAACTCATGGAATCATTGCAGACTTAGCTAAAGATAGCGCACAATGGAGTAAAAAGATCCATATAGGTGATTTGTACTAGTTGAGAATAGGTTTTAGTCTTGTTAGAAAACTTCTAATATTGTTATTATTAATATCACTATTTATATATATTTAACTTATTTTTTACTTCTATTTTATTTGGTATTATGATGACATAAGTTGAGCTTAAATGGAGAAGTGAGGATTCATATAGCCCCGGACTTGTTTGGGACTGAGGCATAGTTGTTGCTGTAATCTATAATGTACCTATCGAGAGCTTTACTTGTGGGATCATGCCAATATATGTCTTAGTAGCCATTATAAACTACTTGATATATGAAGTTATCTTGTCACTTCGTGCTTAGCTCGTGTGTTCCTTTTTTCCAGGTGTTCAAATTATAACATAGTGCAACATAGTTAGCTAGTATAAAAACAACATTACTACGGTGTTCGGATGTTCGACATTAGTTTCACTTATTATCAGGATTATGAGATGTATAGCCTTCGAACACTTGGTTCAATGGCCAACATTGCAACCAAGAGTACTATTTCTTGGATGTCCTGCCTATAAAGAATTTCTCTTGATCAATAACTCTACTTTTCTGCTGCTTTGTTTGTTGAACATTTGGCTGGGAATGGGCGAACCAACCAATGATGACTAACAATTTTCTTCTAATGCAGGTTTATAGCATGGTACAGAAACACAAGCAAACTGACCAGGGTACCATCCTGGAAAGGAGGAGGAAGCCAGCATTAAGAAGATAGAGATGGTACTGGCTGTGCCAATGAAACCTTTACTGACCACTCAAGTACTCTTTCTCCAAATTCTGGCAATGTTTTCCAGGAGATACCATCCTAGTCTAGGATTATGCGTAAGGTCTCATTATTTTCTGATTGGGTTCTATTCATGCCATCTATTAATGAACTTCCTGGTAACGTCTGTTCTTGTTTCATTAACAGTCACTTCTATTTTAAACGGAGTCTCTTCTTTTTAACATTTTCAGCCAAGCAAATGCTTTGGTGGGTCAGAATGATAATATATGCTTTGTCTTTTGAAGAATCGAACTGCTTCTATTATAGTCCCCCTATTAAAAAGCTAAGAGCATATACGTGTTGAAGTTTTAATTTTTAAGATGAAATAGTCTTAAAATGAGGGTGAATGGAAAATGGAGGGAAACTGAAATTTTTGAGTAAAATTTTAAGTTTCCCCCTCTTGACAATGAGACATTGTCCCGTATTGGAAGAGGAAGAGATTTTTGGTGGGTATATATATAATTGCTCTTCTTGTAGCTCTTAAAGAGTTAAGAAGAAAGCAAGCCTCGCGCCGCCGTCGTCCTCGCTCGCTCGGCTCGGCTTCGGCTACGGCTTCGGCTTCGGATTCGGATTCGGATGATTTGGATTTGGATTTGGTCAAATGATCGATTGATTGACTAATTTTTTGGACCAAATTTATTTGTTAATAGTAAATATTAACGTAAGATTATCCGCATTTGTAACGGATATTTTCCAATCCGTGTATTGACCATTTGGCAGCCGCCTAATGCTCTTCCCACCATGATTGTGCTTGCTCCACAAACAAGCTAATGCTTGCTCCACCATGGAGGGTGGACGTTTGGTCTTCTTCAACACTGGCTGCTATATATATGTGCAGCAGATGTTGAAAAAAGACACTCAACAACACAACACACAAGACACAAACTGAAATCGCTCAACAGATTTGGCTATACATTACACTCCTTCCTCTCAGCATTTCCATACGATTTTCTGAGTTTCTACTCCTTTGTTCTGCATTGTTTTAACTTCAAACAAAGCAACTGTAAGTGTGATTTGCTACCGAACTTTGTGTTCGCTGAAACACTGGGGTTTGAAGTACCGCTACACCAGTGTGTGATTCGTTCTATCCTGGGAGGAAATAATCCATTACCTTGGGTACTAGGAGGGGATTAAATTCCTTAAGGAAACACTGTGAATTCAGTGGGCTCGAATTAATTACTTTTTCATTACGTTAACTTATATTTTGCAGAATTATTATTTACAAATACAGCAATATTGGCGGAACTAACAATACGTTCATAATTCATCGCTAAAAGAAAGGTTCTATGGTTTCAGGATATATTAAAGGCTCCCTTAATGACGGGAAATTTAGCCAGGAAGACATGATTGTGCAGCTGTTTGACAATTGGTGTATAACAGATCATACAGATGCTAAATTATTGTATCTTATTGGCATGTGTTTCCAAGCTCTTGTCTGCAATATTAAGCAGATGCATTGGATTTTGTACTTTTAAGTAATTAAAGTGGATGTGTAAGCAGTGACAACGGTTCCATGAATCTATTGGTTGTAAAATATTTTGTACACCTGTATGAAGTAGCTTTATATTGGAACACATTTGGCAGCCATACATTTTGGAGCTTCAACTTTTTTGTTTCTTTTCCCCATTTTGGTTTGTTGTCTTCTTTCAGATGTGAGAAATTAAGGAATGATAATATTTTTGATTGAATGAGTTACTTCTTTAATAAGATGGGTTTATTTAATTATCTCCTGGATTCTTTTTTCATTTGGGTTAAAAGGAAGAACACTATTTGATTCCTGATACAATGATTATAGTGAAATGGATAGTGGCTGAAGAACTCGAAGTAAATGACAGGACCATGTTTTATGGCCGTTGGTCTTCGCTGTATTTTAAGGAAATCTAACTTTAAAGAGCACTGATCATAACTAAAGATGATAAAACGCTAGTAATAGTCCTCATTCTACTTAAAGAGTATCCAGGTCTGTGACCAATTTATCTTTTTGTTGGTGTTCAATCAGCTAAGAAAGGTCATTGAAACGTTGCCCGTCAATATTCGCATATAGGTAAGAATGGCACATGCTGTCCACTTTTTGGGCGTGTAAGTAAAATATTTAACAATTGGTTGAACGTAATTGAAAACTAGCCCCTTTTCAATGTGAATAAAATTTAGATAAAAATACCCCTAGCTAAAACATTGAAAAACTCCATCAAACACATGTAAAAGTACGAAATTCCAATACAGTATGTTGGAGTTTCACATGTAAAAATTCAAAACTCCATCACAGCGTGATAGAGTTTCACATGTAAAAATTCGAAACTTCATCAAATTGTAGTGGAGTTTCACATGCAGGGAGATTTTTCCAACTTAATGTACTAGAGTTTCACTTGTAAAAATTTTGAACTCTAGCACATTGTGTTGGAGTTTTTTTTCCATAATGTAATTAGGGATATTTTTGGGGCATTTTCATATATACCCACTTTTGGGACCACCATTGAAGTTATACCAGCATTGCACAAAATTTTACAAAGTGTACCCGCTCGAATCTGAAGTAGTTCAATCTCTTCAATACAACTTTAGAAATCAAATTTGAAGTTCTTCTATCTTTCAAATGCAACTTTAAAAATTCGAAACTGAAATAGTTCAATCTCTTCAATGCAAAATTCAAATCTTAAGTAGTTCAATCTATTGAATGCAACTTCAGATTTCGAATCTTAAGTTCTGAAATATAAACTTGTGTCTTCGAATTTCAACAATCCAATACACGATTCCATGCCCAAATCTACTCCAAATGAGCTCAAATTTGAAATATAGTTTTCAAATATCATAAAGAACAAATCTCAATCAAATTGTCAAAAAAAAAAATAAATTTAACAAACTCATTTTGCAACTAAGAAGAAGACGAAGAAACTATAAGCTCAAAGAAGAAGAGAAAAGTGTGTTATCTTAAGTTATCCAATAATTAGGTATCAATTAAGCTTTTTTTAAAAAGTAGATACAAATTTAATGAGTAGCACAAAACTGGGCGCCACATGAAAATTTTACGGTTCAATTTTTGTATTAAAAGCGGCTAAAGTTTGAATAGTTTTGAAACAGTTGTTGAGTTACATTTGGGTGAAGTACACAAATAGCCCTTAAAGTGGATGGTCTTGAATTTTTGTCCCCATTTGGCATATGGGCAAAATTCCAAGTTTGACAATGTTGCCCATTGTCCTTCGCTTGCTCCATGGGCAACACTTTTTACTTTTGAGCTGAAGTTCTGTTGTAAATCTTACGGAAAAGATTTGATCACGAAACCTGTAGAGAATTCTTCAAAACTTGAGGCGCGTCAAAGACACTGTTTTTAAGGATATTTTACCTGATTTGGGTGTATCCCCCAGGATTCAACAGCTCTTCTAGTATAAAACTAGGAGCAGAAACTAACAAAGATAAATTCTTGGTAGAAAAGCAGAAGAAAGGAGAGTATTTTATGTTTTCTTAGTCTCTCCCACAAAAGGGAAGAATGTGTGCATATATAGGTAAAGAAAATCAAAATGTCATGATGGGTGAGTAATGGTCCAATAATTACAAATGTGGAATAATGACCCATTATTCTATAAAATAATAAAGACACTAAATATTCAATAAAATGAATCTAGACACTTTAAAAAAAAATAAATCTGGACACTTTCTTTTGACATACCATGTCCACTATTTTTCTAACAATCCCCCACATATCTCAAAAGAAATAGAGTGATAGAATATTTTGCTGGATTTTCTACATATAAGCACAATGCATCGAATCTGGTGTCTCGTAGACTATGAACCAAACATAGAAAAAATAAGATTAAGCTTACAGAACAAATAGTGAAGTTTAGAACTTCTATGAACCAAATTCTTTTTGTAAGCCCAAGGTCTTATCTATCACATTATACTAGCACAATGTTTGTCGTTATCACGATTTTGCGCTAAGAGGTCATGCGCGCGCCTGGTATTCATGAGTGCTCTAGAATTTTTTGTCAGAAGTTTCATAAGAGCGGCACCACTCCACACTCATATAAGTCCATCCACCAAGTGTATTCTGCAGCACAATACACCATCTATAATGGCTATAGATTAGATTAAGAATTTAATAACCCCGCCTCACATTTCTTGCAGTTTTGCACTGTATACACACCATAGGAAGGGATATAAAATAATAGTGTATATTTTATCAACTAATGACTTATTATTACACATATGAACCTACTTCAGGGTATCTCCAATCACATAGGCTGGGTTACCATCATTGTTGATATATCTCAATTGACAAAAGTCCCATTCCCCTTGATGTTTCTTTTAAATAGTGAATCGTCCAAATTCATCTCAGACTTCACACAATTATAGAATTTATCACATTTCACAGCAGATGATCTATCATAATATTTCTCAAATAAATATTTTCTTGTTACACCCTATGTTTTCGTACGTAAAAGTACATCGTAAGTCAACTGATATAAGCTCGAAAATGAGATCATCTTTGATAGTATATAAATTAAGTAATCATGTTATCTTGGAGGTTACAAATATTCAAGATCATTAATTGCAAGTACCAAGAGGGTTGGAAGGTTTAGAAGCTATACGAATCAAAGAAAATAAGTTTTGTCGAAAGCCGGCAAGTTGGGAATATTATAACCTGTACTTTTAGGGTGAGACTATTGTGATTAATATGATTATCAGGTGATTCTAGGAGGTATTTTAGTCGTATGATAATTGTGTGTTAAGTTTGAAGTCAAGCGATTTGTGAAACAAAAGTTTACGAAAATCGTCGCAAGTTACGTTCATAAATTGTACTGAAATTTGGGTCTAATATCACTGAGCTTTCTCCCAATATACTTGGAGTTACAGGGTGATCCATCCACAAAATTGAAGATCTATGAGTCTCATTTATAACTCATTAAATCATTTGTTGATACGACGTCTGAGTAAAGAGATATTCGTGTTTTTGCGAGACTACACAGGCAGCCCCGTTGGGAACCACTTGAGACAGCTACCCACTTTACTTCTTTTAAAAGACGATTCATCCTCACTTATGGTCATTTATCACCCAAAGTTCGTCCATAAGCTCTCCAAAACCCTCTCTTACATATCTCCCAGATCCAATAACCAAACTCAAGGGAAATCAACTCAAATCATCGTCAAAAGCGTTAAAGAATGCAAGAAAATGCTTCTATGATGTTGTGGTATGATTGAGGGCTATTGAGAGCTAGGTTGTGATGAGGTTTCGAGTTTTAGCTGCTTTCCAAGGTATGTATAACATCTTATTGATTGTGCCTAAGGTTAATCTTGTGTTGGTTGTGCTGTTTAAGTGAAAATCCATAAGATAACACTTGAAAGAACGTGAGACATGGTTATCTTTTTGTTGAACTATTTTGTGGCTACATATATGATTTATGGTGGATGTAATGTATGAGAAATAACTTTATAATGTTATGGCTGCTGTTTTTAAGATTTTCTAGGTATTAATTAAGCCAATTGAAGAAGAAAACATGAAAAAAAAGTGATTGACGATAAAAGTTAAGGTGTTAAGCGTGTGGACTGTTTTGAAGATTATTCTTATGATGTTTTAGGATGAAAATGATGTGGTAAACATAAGTATAATATTATTGATATTGTAAGTAGATTCATAAAGAAGAAATTCAAACTCTATTTTGTTGGTTGTAAACTGAGTTTGCCGCTCGTCGGGATTGTTAAACTGTTTTGAAAGGTTTTTTATGAGTATTATTGATGTTTTTTGGGTTGTTGTTGGCTGCTGTGACTTGTTCAAAATCATATATTTAGGGAAGGTGTTGTCCGTTTTATCATAGAATAAAGTTTGTCCTTCAAATGTGATAAGTTATGGAATTCGTATTCTGACGATAGTATTGTTCATTGCTTGTAGACACAGGAGTTGCAGGTTAAGTTAGCTTGAGGATTGGACGAGATATTATGAGATATGTAAGATCTTCATTTTTTTTCTTTGGCATGATTCTATAAGTTATGTTTCCCATTGTAAGGAATTCAAAGGGTCGAGTCTTTGTATACGTACTATTTCGACAATTAAGGTCCTTTCACGAGTATAGTCATACGAATATTGAAATGGATTGTGTTGGTCGTAGTTTCATATATTCTTAAGGAGTAAATAGGGCCTTCTGAAAGGTCCTTATCTTATATATGTAACAAGACAACCAGATGTCAATTAAAGATTACATACGAATGGTATAACGAATTAGAAGTAATATAGTGTCTGTATAATGAGGGATAGTTATACACGAATAGTTCAACAAGGTAGCATAATGTATAGTTTGCAGAATGATAAGAATTATTCGATCTAAAGAATGCCACGATTTCCAATACTTACACGTTTGTATTCACGAAACTGATAAAGACCCACAAAGATAGTTATGTTGCTCTCAAGTTAAGTAAGGTTGATTAAATATGAGGGTGATGTTAAGGGACGATATATGTTACCTATGGAGTCGTAAACTACAGAATATGAGCAATAATAATATAAGTTGATAGAACGTAAATCTCACAACTCTTGTTACATGTATGTATATATATAACGAGTAGCCTCACAAGCTAAACATATTACATAGCTATAAGTAGATAAAACCGTATAATCCCCA